TTCGGCCTTCGGCAGAGGGAGGGGGGGGGTCGTATTTCCGAATTTTCCTCGACGCCTCGCTTGACCCTGGTTCCGGCGCTCCTTATCAGCCCTTATCAGCTGTTATCACTTTTGGTCCCCACCAAATATGTTCCCGTCCCACCCTCGACATCGCTTGTTAAAACCAACTCCTCAGTGCTGCTAGGACATGCGCTATGAATTTCGTGACATTTGCGTCCTGGCACCTTTTATCAGCCCAATCATTTTCCTTCTCCCACCATATCTCGAAGTCTGATTGGGGTGTCACCGGAAATGACGTGGCGAACACCGCACTTGATAGATATGTGTGGGTAAGATACTCCGCCAGACATCAGGGAAGGAAGGATAGCCTACGGCCCGTGGAGTGTACATTGTAGATACGTAGTACGGATTCGGCGACTGAACGAATTTTCAGGGTTTGGGAATGTTGTAATAACTGAATCCTTTTTGCTCTGCAGTAACTTTCCCATTTCGACAGATTCTCTTAGATGGCCTTGCTCTCATGTTACCCTAAACACCGATCCAGAAGCGGAGGGTATACTTCGTACCAGCAGAATTTGCAGCTCCAGTAATGAATTGCGCGCTCCAGTCGCAATCGTAGTGATGATACTCAGCCAAAGAGATGTACGCAGCCGATTTGGGTCGCTCATATTTTTTCGTGCTTCTGCGCTGGTTGTTTCAGCATTTTTACGATCTCATATATGGCTATTTAGAATCTCATTTATGATAAGGTTGTGACTCTCGGCTGTTGAAGCGGTAGCAAGTCTTCGCTCATTCTTTGTACCTTACTTTATATTGCACGTATTTTTTTTGTTGTTAAGTCAAGCCTTCTTTAGTTCTGAACTGCTTCACATTGTATGGTGTTGATGCATAGTCGGTGACAAACAAAACGTTTACACATAGATATGGAACAGGCGCAGGTGTGATTTAATTCTTGTCCCTCAAAAATTATACCAAACGAGTTCTATTCACGGCAAATCTATTTTGAGAGTGCAACAACAGTTCAATGAAGTGAAGATTTTGGCCCAGTTTGTTCTCAAAAGTCAAGGCGTTCGACTTTTTAGACATTTGATCCCTGTAAAAGGGTGACTTAGATAAGTAATTGCTTAACAATAAAGCTCACATGGCTCGTAGAAGTTATAGTGATGCCGAATTCTCGCATGGCTTCCCTCTTTAGTGTTGGAATAAAGTGTGACTGAAATGGTTCTGTTAAAGAGGAGGTGTAAAGGTTTTTAAGAGCTCACATTGGCATTGCTGGACGTGTAAATCCAGTAGTCGGCAATCAGGAGTCGATTTAACTTTGTTAGTCCGGTTTTCACCACCAAGCGGCAGCTTTTTTTTTCGGTAATATTCTGCTACCCCAAAATCTCGGCCGCGCTTGCCTCAGCCGCGCCCCAAGAAAGTGAGGGAGCCGAAAATGCCTCTTGAGGCAGTTTGATGCCTGATTAGGTTGCTTTTATGCTTTGCGCCGGTGCGGCCCGTGCAGGCGGTGCGGAGAGAGTGTAGAGCGTCAATACGATTAGAGGTATGGAACGAGATGCTCGTCCCCTTGAAAAAAATTTCAAGCGCACACATTTGAACAAATGTTGACTGGGGCGAGCTTTCTCTCAGCTACTATACTGTTATTAGGGTCCCTACGGTAATTTTGAAAAATGCTAAGCTTTTTGAGGAATGGGGGCCCAGAGGTGAGTATGCCACTCACCATATGATCTCACACACTTCATCCTTCGCCACACAATGCGTAATTTACCCACCTCGGAGGCCACCCTCCCGAATAGCTTAACCTTAGGCGCTATGAATGACAGACCCCAGAAGAGCAGAAAATCTGCGTTGGGCACCGCTATTTCGAAAACTGATGTCACATTCGAGCCAGGACGCCAAATAACCCTTACATGCAAGTTTACACCGAATTTGTGAAAACAGCTGTCGTGACAAAGTGGCGCCAACGTCGGAAAATGAATGTCATATCCGTAATCAGGGCATCGAATTACCCAATTGATTATAGGCAAAGTTCCGCCAAAAAATAAGGTTGAGATTTTGGGGTAGTAACAGTGGTATAGTGCCCTTTTTTCTAATATGCATGAATTCTTTACTTTTTTTTCTGAATAGGATACATTAGGTAATAACTGCTGTGAGTGTTTATATTCCTTCCCTCCTCAGTTATACTTCCTAGGTCACCCCAGAGGAGCAATTATTACATAATTGAGGCTGTGATAGGGAAGTAATCGTCTATGATGCCGGAGGTGCCTTGAGTCAAAGAAAATAAAACGCTCATCTATTTCCGTAATTGTTGCATTGTTAGTTGCAGACAACAGCCGCAGCTGATGAAAGGAGCAGGAACTCCGTGGTGTCACGGCCACGGCAAAGTGTGTGGCCTGCTGTACCTATGGAAGAAGCTTTAACTTTGCTGGAGAATATGGATGTGCCCACATTCGTCAAGTATATCCCAGTTGCGGCTGTAAGAGTTGGTAAGTTTTGATTGAGTAGATCTTTCATTCATTCGATCAGTTTTCAAATTCATGTAACCAATGAGACTATGAGTCGCCGATTTTCTTATCATTGTGTGCGATTCGAGATTACTGATTAGGTGTTATTTTTTTTGTTAGGGTTATTGCAAACCGGATTCTGTCACAATCACTTTATAAAACGACTGGCGTTGCCATGGTCTGTTTTCTCTTTTTAAAATATAATTACTATAGTTTACAGGACAAGTGCTCGCGGAACGCATTGTTGCCCAATCTGATGTACCTGAAGTGCGCACATCGATCAAGGATGGTTACGCAGTGTTAGGTAGGGCGCTGTTTCAATAAATTTGAAGTCATAATTGCGTTGAAGGCAGTATGATCCCATTTAGTGCAATAGTCTCCCGATGGAGGCATTCATTCGCGTTCTTAAAAGTGATTGTCAAAAAATTACCACAGCATGATTGCGCGTAGGGTCCGGAAATCGTGGAATTAATTACTGCCAGTATTTACGAGTTTTGTTCAGGCGAGAAATGAAAAGAAACCAGTAGAAACGTATCTAATTTGCCCAATCGGATATTTATTGCTTTGAGCTCAAACTGAAATCGAGAATAAGAGGGTTGTCACCGCGGCGAGTTAAGAAGGGCTCCAATGATTGCACAATGCTGGTTTTTCAATTACTTTGGCCTATTTTATCTTCAGTTGACCTACGGGCTGCACTTTGCCTGTTTTCAAAGCGAGCGTTTCAGCAGAAAGGGATGTAAATGCTTACTTAGAGGCAAAGCAAATTGCGGATCTCCCATTCGTCAGCATTCGAATCGATTCGCTCTAACTTTTTCTCCAAGCCCGATCGCTCGCAGTCTTTAGTCTTACACATTTATCTCGGCGGATTTGCTGAGTTTCCTAAAACACGGAGTATGAAGGCGCCCTTAGGCCGATGCCTCACTAATGGAGCCATTCCCTGCTTGCGCCGCGACAAGGGGATCGCTCAACTCGTAAAATCTGGCATCGGCCTTATGGGGTTGCAGTCGGCTTGGAGCTGGTAAGCATACGCTTCATTTTTCCAGCAAGTGATCCGATAGGTCTCCGTAAAGTCGTTGGATCATCAACTGCCGGCTCTCCATACGAGGAACATGTCTCGGCTGGTGAATGTGTTCGTGTAAGCACCGGCGCAGCAGTTCCTGATGGAGCAGATGCTGTAGTGATGGTGGAACATACGAATCTAGTTGAACATGATGTTAGTTGGTTTTTTGATTAGATAAGGTTTCTTGCCGGCTTCTGAGATTACCTCCTGTTTTTTTCCTGGAAATTGTTTCGAATAGTTTTTAGGGCTCTGAAGAACTTACAATAAGCATTGAGATTACTGTGAAGCCTGGACAGGATATTCGGTAAGCATGCCTTCTGTTTATCCGTGATCCCTATTTTCATAATTTTCTCCTGGGGCCGTAAGGTATGCTCCCCCGAATAGGAGAGAGGGAATAGGAGAGGACGTAAGCAAACCAGCCCTTTTGGCGCTTCGGCTGGGACCGTATGCTGAATGTTGGGGAGGGGGGGATGGAGTCCCCGACGGTGGACGGACCACTTCAACTCGGTCCTTAGAACCGCCACAATTTGGTGCTTACCTCAGAACTAAGCCTTAAAGAGAGGACGGGTCCGTCCCCTCTCCAAGGCTTAGTCCTGGGGTGAGCAAACCAGCCCTTCTGGCGGAGCTGCTGGACCAGCTGCACCACTTGCGTCAGTACTCTCCTATCGTACCAACCGAGTTGAAGTAAACCGTCGACCGTTGGGGACCCCATCCCCTCCCCAACATTCAGCATACGGTCCCAGCCGAAACGCCAAAAGGGCTGGTTTGCTTACCTCGTAAGAGGGACCTTTCGCTGGGCAGGTATGCTCTCCCGAAAACTCGGGGAAAGGCGGTGTCCCCCGTTCTTAAGGATTCTCCCGCCCTGCATGTCAATCACGGGAATATCTCCCCGATTGCATGTCAATATCCCCGAGAATCGGTGGCTTGGCATTTTCCCGAAAGTTCTCGGGGAAGGACTTTACCAGAGAAGGGTCTCTCTCTTGTTCGGGGAAGGATACCTTAAGGCCTCTGAATAAGTGAAAAACAATGCTTTCTGCATACGTAGTACAAACTTGTGCCACTTTCTGTAGCCATCTACTGTTTTTATTTTCGTAAAAATTCATAGTTGCTGGCCTGTAAAGACACATCAGGATAAAAGAGCTCGCATGCTGTAGTACGTCTGTCTGTGTTAATGTTGCCAGTATACCATCACCATTAGTAAGAGTGGAAATGTTGACATGTAAAGTGCCCTAATTTTGAGTGCAGGCTGAAATTAGAAAATACAAATTCACGTTTTCACAATTTTCCTTTTATGGCTTGCGTCGTACAGTGGAGAGCCATTTGTTAGATGAGAATATCGAATTTCAGTATGCCAGGTACCGACATCAGCAAAGGAGACCTACTGTTAGATTCTGGATGTACACTTGGATCAGCGGAGATTGGTGTACTTGCTGGTAGTGGAAAGCGTTCAGTTCTCATGTACAGAAGGCCTAAAGTGTGTGTATTGTCAACTGGTAATGAGGTAAGAGACTGGCTGACAGGAGAACCGAGGAAACTGTTTGCAATCTTGGATCCCTCATTTCCCTCCTAGTTGCTTTTTTTAGTTGGTAGAATGCACTGCGGAAGATATACCTGTGGGTCATATTCGTGATACTAACCGCCCTCAGTTGATTGCGCTCTTCAATTCTCTGGGTTTCAAAGCCATCGACGCTGGAATTGCAGTAGATAGGTTTGTGTAGTTCTACGTTGTTTTTGAATCCGATGTAAGGTGTTGTAATTTAGCCCTTCACTATCAATTTACAGACGTGAATGTCTCGTCGAAGCCATGAGAGTTTCATTTCGTTATGCTCACGTACTCGTAACATCTGGAGGCGTAAGCATGGGCGAAAAAGACTTGATGAAAGATGTGTTGATGAATGACTTCGGATTTAAGGTATAATGTGCTTTTCTACTGCCAGTCAAATCGCTTTATCTCTGTTGTTTGGTCGCCAAATTCTAGGGAATTTTTGCAAGTGAAATCATTTGATTCATGGCGCCTTTGTCCCTTTTCAGATTCATTTTGGACGAGTTTGGATGAAGCCCGGTCTACCAACCACCTTTGCTACGGGAATGGTTGACGGCGAAAAGAAATTCGTTTTTGCATTACCAGGTTAGTTTTTACGTGAAAACGTAATTGTGTGTTGAATTACAGTACATATGTTTAGGAAATCCTGTTTCTAGTTGGGTTGCCGCTCATCTTTTTGCTGTGCCACTATTGAGAAAGATTGCTGGACAACAAAGAATCTTTCAGAATGTCATTAAAGTACAGGTAATGATTACTTTTGTGCGTCGTTTTGAATAGAAAGTTATCAGTGTTACCAGTTTTGCCATTTGCGTTCAGTAACTGCGCTGTTATAAGGAACCCCCTCATAACTAACAACATATACCCTGATTCGGAAAACCAGATGCTCGTCGGGTGCAGACCACACACCACAAGTGACGACGGCCTCCACAAAATGTAAATGTTTTCTGCCAATGAAATGATTAGCCTGTTGCAGTTGTATTCTATCAGTTGTCACTAATTACAACTATCATTTACCACTATCAGCTATCACTATGAACACTAGTTACCAGATTTACTTGGATCATTTGCGGTGTGTGGTCTGTACTCGACGCGCATCATCTGAATCATCACTGTAAGACACAGAGTACATACAGTAATGAAATTTCTGCGGTGTGTTCACCACGTCTCGCTTCCCTGTCTGATTGCTGCCGGCGTGAGAGGTGCTGTCTGTCAATGAATACTTTGAATTCTCTACAGCAGTGTACATTTCCTTTTTCAAATACTGCTCCAAGTGTGTCCATATGAATTCCGTTCTACTTTGATGGCATGTTCATGCGCTTCACACTTAGGTGTTGTAGTGATCTGGACAGTTCCTCTTTCGCTACTTGTACTCTTGTCAGGCTTTTAATCAGAGCTGACTTGATAAACTACATGGAGTGCTGCTCAAAAATTTCTTCTAGCTTGCGGAGGACCTCAGTCTCGATGCACGTCCTGAATACAGAAGGGCATGGTTGCAGCATGGTGGGAATGTTCCTGTCGCCATAACTACTGGCAATCAGATTTCGTCAAGGTAGTAATTTCTTGATAGTTGGACCTGGTGTTGCTTCCTATTACTTTTTTCCGCTCCCACATTGCTAAAAATTGTTATTGGTTTATGAAAAACAGGTGAAGTATTTTTAGGCTTATGAGCCTTTCTGGCGCAACTGTTCTGCTAAAAGTACCGGCAAAGTCACCACAGTGTTCGGTCCTACCGGCAGGGGAAATCGTAGATGCACTATGGTTAGGTCCTGCTTGAAAAGAATTCGTTTCTTTCCTCCAACAGGGGTAGAAATATTGCGTTTTTAGTATGTGTAAGTTTTTTTTTCAGTGGAAATTCCCTGTAAAGGCTGTGATGTTTTACTAGATCGTCCTACTTTATGCCTTTTTCCTCTTCAGTTGCCTTTATTATTCATGCGTGCAAACAACTGTGATATTTTCACCATCAACTAGTCCAGTACTAATTAATTTTTTTTATGAGAAATCAGCTACTACTTTACCTCAAGTTATTACTTTTCTTACGTTTCCGTTTGGTCTGCTATACTTGCCCAGTGATGTCATTGATCTTTATCTTTCATCCCGGTATCATTCCGATGTTTTATATTCGTATTTTCACTGAATTGATAAACGGTTATCTTATCATAATTCTTCTGTGAACAAAATGTTCAGTCAGTTTGCTATCTTCTGTTCCTGTTTTACGTAGACGTTGTGTGCCATACTGCTTTAATTTTATCTTCACTTATTTCTTTTACGGATGACCGCGGAATCTTTGAACAAGGATATTGAACGTGTGCAAGAGAAGCTACGCGAATTGGATGGGACGATTGCGACTTTACGGACAAATCGTCGTGATTTCGATATGTAGGTTTTGATTTCTGATTTGTTTTGATTACTTTCACCTTTTGGGCCGTATGCTATCCTTCTCATAGATAGAGGGACGAAAATCCCTTTAAATTTTCTCTGTCTTCCCAACTGGGATTGCCCTGATAAAGGGCCTACATTTAATGTATGTATGTAGGTAAAAGTAAACATGCACTGAAAATGAAGAAACTATATCGTTCAAAACAAATAAATTTAAAGGAAACTTTGGATCCACTAGCTTAGCGGAAGTTAGCATGCGACCCTTTTTACTTTGGACTTTCCCATTTTTCTGTGGTTTCTATTTGGTAATTACGGTTTTGTCAACAAGTACTGTTTAGTGGTGGATTAGGAGTCAAGCGTCGTTCCTTCGAAGGCGGTTTTGGTGGCGATAGGTTCTCCAATGGCAGGTAAGAGTCTGACTTATTATTGTGTGACGGTTTAGCTCCCAGTGATGCTCGTATGCAGTTTGAGGCATCGCCGGGGTACTTACTGGAAAGTGGGGGGGGGGTACATCAATCCTTGAACACTATTTATAAACTTTTAAGCGAGACATTTCGATAGCGTACGTGCTGCGTGAAAGCGCATGCACCAATGGAATCAGTAGCAACGTGCTGAAGCGTGCGCTAGTTGTAGCGCACTGCGGTTCCGAATGCTTTCTGTGCTCCGCCACCGCGTGTGTTCCGCTCTCAGTGCCAGTAGCGGCATCGCTCGTTTTCAATTTTGAAGGGAATCCACTTTGGGTGGTCGCGGCCTCTAATCTTTTCTGTGGGATGCTTTATCAATCAAGATTTGTGAAGTATTAGAAGATGGTGGTGGCTATCGGGCTAAACGTGCAAAGGGCCATTTTACTGCTGGCCTCGTCCATTGTTGGAGGTCAACGGTTAAACAAACTGGTACTATGTCGGGTTTTTTTTTCTTATGGGTTTTTTTCGTCATTGGCGCATTATTCCCATTAGCATGGTTAATCCTACCCAATTTTATCTTGCTTCAAGCAGCTAATTCAAGTGCACGCCAAAATGTAATTGAAGATCAGGTATTTCAAACGGCTAGCTAAGAAAGAATTGTTGAGCTGTAGCTAGGTCATATATATGGAAAGTTTGTTGTGTTTTTGCCTATTTATGTTGTTTCCCATGACTGCCCATGCGGCGTTTCAATTAAATAAATATCGGAAAGGTTTTATTCTGGAACTAGGCTTTAACATCTTTGAACTTGGATGAACTTGGTCGAAATAGTAAGGTGCTAATCGTAAGTGTACATATTTTAGTGGACGTGTAACTGTGGTAAGCGACGCCTCACCCGGATTCAATAGGCGACGAATAGAGTAAGTTTAAATTTTCGTGATGCCTTTTTTTATTTTTTTCCAGAACTTGAGTGGCTTTGTTTTCATGTAGTAAATATGGTGAGATCTTATCATAGAGTGTATTTTTATGCATGGATAATATCGGAGAACTCGAAGAAAAGGGAATGTAATTATCGGTTACTGTATTAGTGTTGCTACAGCGCCAGCCACTCCGACTTACTTAGTTTTATTATGTCACTCTGCTTTTTCACTGAAAAAAATCACTTCTACTTGATCAAATGCCTTGTCTTGAGATTGCCAGAAATGGAGCTCCTGGCAACTATTCAAGGAATCGGAGTTGCAGGTGTTATTGTTTTGAGAGAATGGGTGGAGGCATTGGCAAGGTTCGCTCGTCTTGAGTCGACGAATTGTAGAAAATACCAGAATTACGATACATTCGTTGTGATAGTTGCCCTTGATTGATGGTCGCTCAATTTCCAATTAGGAAACTGGAATCTAGGGTTAGAATCTTTGGGAAGGTGAGGGTACTTCCATTGGTTTTCTCAACAAAAATATGAACCGAGCGGCTAGAAATTTACAGTGAGTAAGAAAAGAGCAATTTTTTTAGAGAACTTTAGAAATTATGCAAAGAATCAGCTTTGTATTAGATTGCTGCAGTATAAATGTGCATGTACATGAAAATTTTTGAAACAGCAACGATGCAACACCTCAGAACAAGAGATGGTTACTACCTTATTGTGTCAGGCTTCGTCATTCGTCACGCAATGACTTGAAATTCTTCTCAAGGAATTGTAGCAGCTGTGCGCAGGCAAATTTGGACACTCAGACTCGGAATTTTTGTGGTCTTATGATCGCTTTCTTTCACAAAGTGCCGCATTTTGGATAAGCAGCGCTTAGATTGAGCGTGAGGATTTGGGGGAGAAGTTAAAGGTCTTCAGTGCTCTCGCAGTTTTTTGCTGAAGATTTCCTTTTCATGGAAGCAGCTTGGTCGTGATGAAGTTAGGTCATGAAATCATCGTTGTTCTTTCTTGCCAAGTCAATGCACGTTTGGTGTAGGTCGCGTTTTGTTTGCAAAAGCCTGCCGTGACCGTATGAGCTGGATTCAGCTGCTCAAGATGTCGTAGAACATTTATGTGAATACCCATGAATTTCGTTTGGTCATCGTTTAGAGGAAAAATTCATGTAAAAAAACGGAACAAAATGGCCAGAGAAGTATTAGGTCGGTCCACAATTTTTGAGAACCTTTGGTGTTTTTCGATTTATTACTTATCTTATTTCTCTGATCTACTTATCCAGCATAGTATACATCATTATTATTAACAACATATCACCAATGCGAGGGTGGGTATTCAGTGCCTCTCTTGTGGACTTTCATAGAGTTCTGATCGAAGGAAAATTGTAGTCCCGAATCAGTTCTCAACCCAATCTGACATCATCAAGTTCCTGTTGGTTTCCTATAGTTCCTTCGGATGACCATCTATAATACTCATTGGTGATGTGGACTGGGTGCAGTGTGCTAACAAATCCACGAGCCGCAGTAGATTTGCTCAAACGATTCGGGAGTTCTGACAGTACAAACCCAACTCCCTCTGAATTCGAACTTCCTGAGTCGTTGGCGCAATACGGGAGGGCCTTTGCGCTGAAGACCGGCATCACTAATACCAGTGTCAGTGATGGGAATCCGTTGACACCTGATGCAACCGCCTCCAACTGAAAGCAAAGGAAGACAAAATCTATTTTTCTCTGAGGTCGTTCGAGCCCGCCTTGCTAAGAAAATTCCTAAAAAATTAGAGACTCTCGGGCGGTCAGTTCTTTTAGCTCCGCCTATAGCACTAATCCTGCGTCAACGAACGACTATCCGCTCTCCTCTCTCAATCACCTTCTGGAGAAGAAATCTCACTTGAATCACCATAAAGTCAAAATCGACATCCAATATTTCTTCGATCAGAACTCTATGAAATTCTACAAGAGAGACACTGAATACCCACCCTCGCATTGGTTATATGTTGGTAATAATGGTGATGTATACTATGCTGAATAAATACATCAGAGAAATAAGATAAGTAATTAAATCGAAAAACACCAAAGGTTCTCAAAAATTATGGACCGACCTAATACTTCTTCACTCTCAGATCTCCTCTTTAGAACGAATACACAACCATTTCTGGAGATTTAAAAGTTCCGAGTGGTGTGGAAGTTCTGAAGCGACATTAGTTCTGCAGCAACCTAATATTTTCTGACCTTATAGACAGGAAGCCTCTATACGGTAAACCACCTGACTGTAAATATTCACTTGATTATTTTTATTATTATTCTATTCTTTTCTTTTACTTTCTCATTCATCCTCTACAAAGTTTTTTTTTTCAAGAATGGTGCGCAATGACGAGCGGCCCAACAAACGACAACGTGTGGACTACGATGATGTGGATGATGAAGACGATCGTGATAGTCGTCCTAAAAGGTTGGAAGTTAGAGGAAAACTACATGCTAATATGCATCAAGTTGAGTCATTTGGTTATCTAGGACACTGGCTTCTACGGTAGTCATGCCATCGATCGAAACGAAGAGTCGCGAGGAGAAAATCGAGGAAATGAATAAGAATGAAAAGAAAGAAGTTACAACCAGGTATTTTTTTCATTTGCCGCAGCATAATCATGTCATCATTCTTCCGTTGATCTGCTTCCGACTCTAGGGCTTTGATATCATTACCTCCGATCTCATAACAATGTAGAATTGGTGCAGTGATGAGTGGCACCACTTCACGCACACGGTCAGGGAATCAAATTCATGGTGGTCCCCTTTCCAAGCCAACCAAGCCTCACATCTCTGGGGTCCTTTACGGTACCAGACTTGTCTGAAAGGATAAAAACACTGATTTGGACATCGGCTGTCCCGCAAGTCATTGGATAGGCCGAATTACAATCGAAATGCCACTACGATTCTGATTTGAATTGCCGTGCGTGGCGCATTCCAGTAAAGGATTGATCATCCCCGAATGCCTAGTCTTGTATCATTTTATTTCACGATAATCTGCATCCACCTTCAGAAACCGTCGTATGTTCTCGAACCTCCTCCAGGGCACGCTCACTCGTTTCCAAAGAGACGAGAAAAAGATTCAGAATGTCGAAAAAATTCAGGTATTTCCATTTTTTAGACTCTCACTATCATTAGGTGGCCAAAGTACTTCATGCTTCAACTTACGAGGTTGATTAGCTATCTTCTAAATAGGAATGTTAAGGCCGAAAAACAGCTCGAAGTAGAAAAACGCCTCGAAGATAAAAAGCGCGAGGATCGCGAGAAGGTTCGATTTGTTCATGTCATTTTTGTTATTTTTTTACTGATCATGCTTTTATTTTTCCTAGTCGGTAACATTCGGCAAAGTACAGCCGTTTGGTTATTTCATATAAGTTATACTCTAGATAATGGCGGAACGACAAAAATTGTTTGACGAACGTCGCGAACAGGAGAAAGAATTGCGAGCGCTGCAAAGAAAGAAAGCGCTTATGCAATATGTGAGTTTTTCGTTCCACTCTTACTATTTCCTTATCGATGTCTTTCTCGTTTTTTTTTGTTACTCTTTCCATATGCACTATCCTTTCTATGTGTACGAAGACTCAGAAGTTTAGGCTGAGGCGAAGAAAGAACATTACAAACTGCTGCGCAACTTCATTCAAACACAAACTAAGCCCACGCTGTTTTTCGTGCCGTCAAAGCATTCACTCCGTTCCCTCGAGTTGCTCAAGGCTTCTGAGAAGGCCATTGATGGTAGGTTTCGATGCATCTATGCGATTTCGAAGTTTCGTTTCTCTTATTTGTTTAACTACAACAGAACCACAACCTCCGGTAACCATCGTAGAACTGGTTTTTTCTCTTACCAGGGAGGTCTTTCAGGAAATGCCCAGCTTTTTCAAAACGGTTTTTTGCATGATATAGGGACACATGCATGGAACACCAAACTGTAGTTCATTTTTCCTGAGCGGCCCTCTGAATACCAAAAAAGGAGCGAAGAAAAAATTCTTAAGGAACTGCCGTTCTAACCGCTTTTTTGTGACGTACATCGCACACAGCGTTGACCAGTGTCATATCAAAAGGTTCTCATGAATTGTACATTGAAAACAGTGCGGAATTCGGTCAAAAATAAAACGATCTCCTTGGCATGTATTGAAACTATTGTGGAACATTCATCAGCGCCGTCTGAAGCCAAGCTATCAGCGGTAGTCGGATGGCCTAGTGGTTAGTGGTGCGGTCTGTGAATCGGAAGGGAAAGGGGCGGTGTTGATGGTTCGACTCCCCACAGTGCCAAAGTTTTGCTTTTTTTCTATTGTCATTTTCCTGTGATCGTGCACTCCTGCGCATGCATATAATGCGGATTTATGTTCGTTTTGAGATCCTACGACTGCGAAATTCGTATTGGTCTCTCACGAACTTGTGTGTGCATCGATAGAAATTTTATAATTCATAAACAAATTGCCCCCGGAAGGCTTGGAGAAGGGCTAACGTGGAATAGGAGGGGTCCGTCCTAGTGATTACCACGGAAACCGAGGTTCTCCCTCGCAGGGCAAGTCTCACACAACGTTGCGTTTTTTGCAGCTGATCTAGCTATCGGCAGTAGACCCAGCCAGAAGTATGACCAGAAGCCCATCCTGCCACTGTTTGACAAGGAGGAGAACCTAATGACATAGTCATTGGTGACTTCTCACCAATCGCGGCTTGAGTGTCTACCATTGTCTATTACGGGGAAGGATTTCTCATTCCGTGAAAGAATGACAAGGAGGTCGCCTCCAAATTGTCTACCAATGAGCCTGACGGGCTACTGACCCATGGTCCAACTGTTCGAAGTTAGGACGAAATCTTAATTTTCCCTGAAACTTTCGGGTTAGGGGTTATTCGGCGTCCTGATTACGAATATTCTATTAGTTTTTAGCGTAAACGTCATTTGAATTCGCTATGACGCCATTGGGCGCTACAACGGCGCCGTTTTGGTGTCGCAACTTTCTCCACCAGTTTTTTTAGTCAAAATCTACGTATGAAGGTTGCTGTTGCTCCTAATTATAGATATGACATCTGCTATTCACGCTGACACCCTTTTTCGCGAATTTTGGAACGCCAACACAAAATGCAAAAAATTGTCACTGCGAGGATTCGAACCACGGACCACTTCCCCCTTTTTTGGTATTCAGAGGGCCGTTCAGGAAAAATGAACCATGGTTCTGTGGTCCCCGCATGTGCCCCTATATCATGCAAAAACCGTTTTGAAAAAGCTTGGCATTTCCTGAAAGACCTTCCTCATTAGATCGAAGGAGTGTTTCGGAATTATCATTGCCCATTGTTGCTATCTATCACGCTACTTACACCATGATGTTATTCGATTTTTGCTCTGCGCGATTATCTCAGTGGCTAGATTTGCTGTTTTATTAATTTGTAAAATGTGATTCGAGACACGTTCAACTTCACTGCAAGGCGGTTGTTGTTGGAGAAACTTTTATCTTTCTCAAAATAATCGTTCTAGGCCTGATGGAACTTCGACAAAAAGAGCTTGAGCGTGAGCTGGAGAATGGCGCCGACGATGAGCGTGATCAGGAGCATAATACATCTGGCGCAAATGACGTCGAAGCCAGTATCTCTCAAGAGAGCAACTCAAAAAAGCGACGCCGTGATCGCAGTTATTCGCGCAGTGGTGATGAGGACGACAACGAAAAGAGTCCTGATGCAACTGCTGATCCGAAGGAGAAGAGCGCTGAACCTGAGGGGGTTCCTGAGAACAACAACGACGATGACGATGCGATGGTTGAAGAGGAGAGAATTCAGCCAGATGAGGAAGCAATGGATAAAGAAGAGGAGTGATGCAATACGGTGAGTCCCTTATTATGTTATTAGCCGTTCCAACAGGTTTTCTTTATCATAATTCGGGGTAATGGCGGAGTGATTGACATGCTGCCAAAGCAGCACTGGTACCTACTCTGCAAGATCCGTTCTCTTGATCGCGTTTATAAACTGTGTACGAAACCGCTTTCGTCTGATCGTTCCTAATAAACCTATGATTAATTGTGTACTTTTACCATTGTGAAAGTATGGCGAGGAATAATGCGATCAGTGCTGTTAGATCGCTGTAATGTATTTTTGATTCGTCTTGTTATTGTTATTTTCATGTAATCCGTTCCAACGTTTCCATCTCCCACCTGTAGTGTTGTTTTTTTGCTGGCAAAATATGGAATGTCGTTGATAGACCGGAGGTTTATAATAAATTATCGACATCACAATATAGATTAAACACAATAAACAATGTAATCTGAGACGTATCACAATTTCAGTGTTGAAGTAAAATATTGGTAAATTGAGTAGATTTCATATTTGATAAACATTATAGATATCAATAAAAGGCCAGTTTGTGGGAGATCACTGATATAACATGCCTATAATTTGGATCAAGACGGCATAGATGGCAAAGGAGGTAGTTACAATGTTGTACAATTGTTCTCGAATGAACACGAGCAACCTGAACCATGAACACATGATTATGTATAGTTCAGTGGCATAAACCGTGCTGGAGGGAACAGCTGGTAGGCCGTATGTTACAATAGCAAGTGTGGACTGTGCTAGATCATCGCTTAGTGTCTAGCCATTCCCTGCCGATCGTTTACTGCAAGGACTGCAAACTGGCTGTTTCACAATCGTCTTGCTGTTATGAGATGCTGCAAACCCGTATATCTGATAGTGGACGACCGACTATTCTAGATGACCGTGTGTGGCGGTGAAATATGATTATTGGCTTGTTGGACGAGTGGGGTGTTTTCTCCGCCATGCCGTCGTGGTCCATTTGCTCGATGTGGTTGCTGTTTAACTTGGTCGACTGACAGTACACCTCGACGCTTTTTCGGCATTTTCGACCTGGCTTGTGTATGTGAGTAGAACATGGCGAAGTTCGAGACGATTACCTAGAAATAGGTCATTAGGTAACAAATAAATTTGTAAATTG